CGCAATAGAGCGCTTAGTTGAACGAAACAAAGATCCGAAAGAAACACCAACCCGACGGAAATGGAGATGTAAATCGAGACGTAAATGTCGCACGTAATGTGCTAGTAGTGCATAGGTACTGATGTGGAATAAAATCGCTTTAAAAGCGAAAGAGAGAGAGAGAGAGAGAAAGGAAAAGAACAGCGCTCCATATCAATCGATTGATTGGTATTTTATTGTCGGATTTTTCGTATATTTTTGGTACAAATTTGATTTGTAGTATTCATAAAGCCAGGAATCCGCTCAATCAATAGCTGCACCGATGAACAGGAAGGAGCACAACGAGTGAACGGAAAAAACAACAACAACACAGAGATTCGCGACACGACACGACTCAACTCGACACTCCCTAACAAAATTAGTTCCTGTTCCTGTGTTAGAGGAATGAGCAGCAAAAGAACAACGTATAAAAATAATAAAGCATTACTACATGTCTGTTATTTTTTCGGATTTTTTTTTCTCATTCGATTTGATTCCATTCATTTGATTGTTGTTGTTTTGATCGAATCGCTAATTTTTCTGTGTAAACAATATTTGTAGCAATTCCGCGTTTTTCCACCGTCGACGGAACAAATGAGTAACAAAGAGAGAAAGGAACAAAAAAACAGTCAGGCAGGCAGGCAGGCAGTCGATTGTTGGCGGGTGTTTTTGTTTTGATTTCCCATTTTATTCGGCAAATCGAACTCGTAATATGCCTGTCGCCTAGTAGCAGGTGCATGTGTGTGTGTGTGTGTACGCGTGTATATGTGGTGGAGCGCGTCGCAATTATTGTTATTGTTCAGAAGGCAGAAGACAGAAGTCAGCATTTTCCGAATGCACATTTGTAATTGCGTACGTTGGTGCTCTGTAGGTGTGTGTGTGTGTGTGAGAGAGAGAGAGAGAGTGTGTTTGGTTGCTGTCGTTGCCTATGCTGTTGAATGGTTGAACATTCCCTTCCGCATGTTTGATGGTGGTGGTGGTGTGTGCAGGCAACAACAAACCGAGCAATGGCAATGCGCACATGCCATAGTGTGCGTGCCCAGCAGCATAGAGGCATACACAGTGTGAGTTGGATCGACGAGAGATGAATGCGGCGGTAGCAATGCCAAAGAATAGTTTTGTGGAAACATAGACCCCGAATATTGATTTATGTGCGCTATGTGCTTCCTCGTTCTGTTATGTTGCCACACCGATGCGAGAAAATGTGAATGAACTCTGGAGCGAATGAGCCAGTTCTTGCATTGCCTCGACTATGTGTTTTTTTTCCTGTTGTTGTTATGTACAAAAATACATTGTAGCATTGTGTGCGCCTCTTTCTATCGTGTTCACTCTCTACTTTGTATATAAAACATTTCGAGCTCCACCATCCGTCGTTTTATACACGAGAATCAACAACAACAACATTATCACCACCACCACTATTTCGAGTCGACAGCGGGAGCAAAGGAACAAACCAAACCAAATGCAGAGTTTCAATTCGATTCGTACTCACAATTCGAACATTTATAAGGTAAAGTCGGGTCAGTTGGGACAGCGGGTCGGTTGGGACACTGTCATTTTCTTGACATCTATCAGTCATAAACAAACGAAACTTTTGGAGAGTTGATTACACGCCAAATGAACGCTGTTTAGTGTTTTCACAGCAGTAAAAGCATGTGCGAAATTTGAATAAAAAATGTGTCCGAAATTTCAGAAAAAAATTCTGAAAAATCGTTAAAAGTTGTCGGGTCAGTTGGGACGGTTGACTGTAGAGGCTGTAACTTTCATTTGGGTAGGAATTTTCCGAAGATGGGAGTATTATTGGAAAGTTAAAGCCCGAAGCTGAATTTTTGCTGAAGAAAGTTTTTCGATTTTGTTACTGGAGAAAAAGTTATGTCAATTCTTTTGGGTGGTGTCCCAACTGACCCGACAACTTTTGTTTTGGCCAAAAACATGACACTTGTAAAAATCGACATAACTTTTTTTCAGCAACATAATCGAAGGACTCTCTTCGGCGAAAAGTTAGCTTTGGTGAATACCTTTCCAACGGTACCATATTCTTTGAAAAATCTTTATCCAAATCAAAGTTCTTACTTCCAAGGCTAACCCGTCCCAACTGACCCGACTCTCCCTTACTTTGTGTATTCACAACATTTCACACCAGATCCTAAGAAAACGGTAAATTTGTATTCCTGCGCTTTTTTTTCTCTCTCTCTCTCTCTCTCTCTTTCTCTTCACATTCGGCTTTTTTCTCCCTCTGTGTTTACCTCTCGCTTGTTACCGCTATCGCACGCCCGATGCTACCCTTCCGAGGTCTGCTGTCTGCCACGCATTTTTTCTCTCCCATTTTCAATTTTCGTTTTCTTTTTCCGAATAGAAGAAGAAAAAACGAGAAACCTACCATTACTGAATGCTATTCTTATTATATTTGCTTGCTATTTTTATGAAATGGATTTGTGTTCTTTCCTTTTTCCCTTTTTGCCTTTCATTTTTTTGCTATCGCGGATTCATCCCTAACCCCCATTCACTTTGCTCTCTTTGCGAATGCATCTTTGTGCCGATCAAATGTTTCTTTTCACCTAAATGTACTAGGTACGAGGTAGTTGTTTTCAAATCCCGACCATTCGACAATTGGTCACATAATATGACATCTGAGGAAAAAAATATGATTTGGAATGGTTTTTATCACTCCCGCTTCCGCTATTGCGCGCGCTCTCTCTCTCTCTCT